ATTGGGTAAAATCTTTAGCGTTAGCACAGGGAAAGAAATTCTGGGACTAAAAACTCAGAATCAGCCATGACGTGGTGGTTCATGCCTTTAATCCCAGCACTTGGGAGGGAGGCAGAAGCAGGCAGATCTCTGAGTTTGAGGCAAGCCTGGTCTGCAGAGTGAGTTCCAGGATAGCCAGGAGTACACAGAGAAACCCTGTCTCAAAAAAAAGAAAAAGAAACAAAAACAAAAACTCAGGATTAGTATGAGATAAACCTAATAAACTTAATTGTTTTATGACTGAGAATGTCATAAGTGAAATAAAATAAGAAACAAAATATTCACAGCATATTGCACAAGACTGGTAAAAGTTTTAATACAAAGAACGAATGACTGAAAGCCATAGAAAGGAAAAAAGTCAGTTGATATCTAAGCATACTGAGTAATGAGAATTCAGGTAACCTTCTGTTTCTGGATTGTAATGGGGTTTAGAGTATATGCAATCCAGAAGTCATTATTTTTTAAAAAATGACTGTAGTCCCTGCTATCCTCAGAACAGACAGTAATCAAGTCACCTTCACTTATGCTCAACAATACATAAATTAAGCAACTGAAGCCAGGTGGTGGCAGCGGCGCACACCTTTAAATTAATCCCAGCACTTGGGAGGAAGAGGCAGGTGGATCTCTAAGTTGGAGGCCATCCTGGTCTACAGAGTGCATGCCAGGATAGACTCCAAAGCTACACAGAAAAACCCTGTCTTGAAAGAAAAAAAAAATTAAGTAACTGAGACTCTTCATCTGTGTAACTTGCAAAAGCTAAGAGAAAATAAATCTAGTTTTAGAGTTTGAAAGAAGATAGATTTCATACATTAAGAGAGAAAGCCTCTGGGCCTGGGTTGGCCCTTAAAAGCCTCAAAGCCTGTGCCCAGTGACACACTTCCTCCAACAAGGCCACAACTCTTGATCCTTTCAAATACTGGTGACCAAGTATTCAGATCTAGGAGCCTGTGGGTGGCCATTCTCATTTAAACAACCACATTCTACTCCCTGGTCCCTATAGTCTCAACACTGTTGAAGTCTGAAATTGAGCCAGGCTGAGCCAGGCAGTGGTGGTGCCCATCTTTAATCCCAGCACTGGAGGCAGAGGCAGGCAGATCTCTGTGAGTTTGAGGACAGCCAGGGCTGTTACACACAGAAACCTTGGAACCCCCCCCCCCAAAAAAAACCAGAAAGGTCCAAAGTTGAAAGCCACTTCTCAGAGTCATGTAGCACCTTGTAAAGTCAGAATTAAAAATCAGATCATATACTTCCAGCATACAATGATGCAAAATATACATTACCACTCCAGAAGAAAGGAAAGGGAACATAGTGAGAAAATATCGAACCAAAGTATCAAAACCAGCAGAGCAAACTTAAACCCTGCATCTCCACATCGACATCAACACACTCTTGGGATCTCCAGCCCCTTTCAGCTTTCTTTAACACCCTGTCTCCAGCTCTCCTCACCGGGACTCCTTGTTTTCTCCAAAGCAATGAATCCAGGCTCTACTTTCAAAGCTTCATGAAATGGCCTCCCTGGGCCTTCATGCAGGACACCCCTCTCTTGTATCCTTTACTCTAAAGCCAAACCAGGTGGCTGAAGCCACCAAGTTCTCCTGCTTGCTGGGACTGGAACAAGGCCCCCCTCCTTCAATTATATCTTCATCAGTTTTTTTTTTTTTTTTTTTTTTTTTTGTGGATGGTTTCCTTCACTGCTGAAGTTTTCCTTTAGTTTCTTTCCAGGAGTTGGTAGTTTAGCTGAGTGGGGTCTTGCCCTGAGGTCACCACTCCCTTTATTCCATTTGGCATCAGGCTTTTCTTTAAACTCTCCTTGATCACTGAACTCAGCTCCGTTATACTTCCTAGGGCTCCTTTTCTCCTCAAATTGTACATCCTGTTTTCTTGGTCAGCTTGCTCCTTTTCACTATAGATCTGCATAATAGTTAATAGTAATACCATAAGACAGCCCAAGTCAGTACTGGGCTGTCTTAAAATCTCCTCTGCCAATGCCATTAATCCAAAACTCCTCAATTTAGCTTCAGGGAGATTTTTTGAGGCAAGGGCAGAAAGCAGGCGCATTTCTTCACCAAGCTACTTATCACAAGCAGTGTCTAAGCTGTTATTGATGCTCTCCTGTGAGACCTCTTGAGCTGAGCCGCCATTGCTGTCAGCGACACTGTCTTTTCATGCTTCCGCTAGTTCTGCCAACATGAACCATACTCGGGCTGTCACAGCAATATCCCCGGGTGCCAACTTTTCTCTTAGTCAGGGTTCCATTGCTGTGAGGAGAAACCATGATTGTGGCAGCTTTTGTGAAGGAAAACATCTAACTGGGGCTTGCTTACGGTTTCAGAGGTTTAGTTCATTGTCCTGTCAGGGAGCATGGCAGCGTGCAGATGGCCATGGTGCTGGAGAAGTAGCCGAGAGTCCTACATCTGGGTGTGTAGGCAACAGGAAGAGAGACTCTGGGCTTTGTGAAACCTCAGTGTCCACTCCCAGTGACATACTTCCTCCAACATGGTCACATCTCTGTTCCACTCCCTGGTGACCCAAGTATTCAAATCAGTGAGCCTATAGGGGCAATTCTTAAGCCACCACAACAGCAGATGGAAATAATTTGCTATTCTATTTGGCATTAGGAATCAAAGTCCAAAAGGGTTGTTTCTTGTACCAGTAATACTCCATATTCCAGGAATTGATGTTAAGGAAATACATATATTCCCTAAACATTTATTTCAGAAGCAACTTTCCTACTGTAGACTCTGTTCTTGTCAGTGAGAATGTCACCTACAACTCTTCCATCTATGGAAGGATACGGTGACATAGGCCTCTAATCCCAGCCCTCAAAGTGTTGAGACAGGAGGATCATGAACTTTAGACCTACCTAAGTTACATAGCTTAATGCCTCAATTGTTGTTCCCACCCCCACCCCTCAAAACAACCCAACACAAGCAACAACCAAAACCCACCGTGTTGTCTAAACATAAGGTATTTGAGAGCAGGAGAGATGCTTGCAGTGATTAAGAGCACCTACATTTGGTTCCCAGCACTCATGCTGGCTTATAACAGGCTATAACTTCAGTTCCAGGGGATCTATGCCTCTTCTGGCCTCTGGTGGCTTTGCATGCCCATGATTCATACACATAAAAAATAAATAAATAAATTTAAGCGAGAGACTTCATGTTTTCCTTTGGTAGTAGATGTTGAGATTAGAAGTGGGAGTAGCACTTTAAAGGAATTAGAAATTTTGAAAAATGGGGGTCTAGAGACATGGTTCAGTGGTTAATTTAAGAGCACTAGCTACACTTCCAGAGGATCTGAGTTTAGTTCCTGATGGTGTCACTCCCTCTGGTGGCCTGTGTGGGCACTGCCTGCATGCGGTGCACAGACATCCATGCAAACAGCAATACACTTAAAAATAGAAACAAATATAATATTTTTAAGAAATAAATTAAAAATGAGTAAATAATATGAGAAGCTTGGGGGTATAGTGAGAAGAAGATGTGTAAACAGAGGGGATTAAAAGAAGGAAACCCTAGTTAAGAAACAATGTGTCCATTATGGACAGGACAGGTGCTCTTATTGCACTTGGAGACCATGAATTAGGGTGCTGAGCCCTTCCTTACAGATGAAGGAAGGAGCCTGCCCAGAAGGTAGGGTGCTGAGTCCCACCTGAGGGCTCTACACGAACAACAGCCAGAGCCACTTCAAAGTAGATTTCTTTTGGCTTCTTTCTCACAACTTCCTGTTTCACAAGACCATTTTGTCTTTTGTTTATGTTAAAGATTAACAGAACTAAGGAAAAGAAGTAAAACCATTCTAAATTTGTGTCAGACAATAAGATTATCCATTGAGGGGGCTGGAGAGATGACTCAGTGGTTAAGAGCACTGGCTACTCTTCCAGAGGACCAAGGTTCAATTCCCATCACCCACATGGCAGCTTGCAGCTGTCTGTGACTCTAGTCCCAGAGGATCTAACACCCTCTCACAGGTATACATGCAAACAAAATATCAATGGACATAAAGTAAATAACCATCCTTTAAAAAAGACTATCCATTGAATGAAACTGGAGATAAATGACTGGAAGCCTGTTAGTGTTTTCTCTTTGGCCACCTCTCCCAGGTGGATGAGAATGAGTCAGTCATGGGTCCCAACCAGACAGAACAGCTTCTGGCACACCATTGCCAGTAACTCTGGCAGATACTCCCATAAACCCACCCTGTGTTTTATTTTGAGCATCTTGTTAGAGGGTCAGGTAACATATTATAATTATTTAATGTGTTACTGATTTTTAAAAGGTAGCACTGTGACAGTGAAAAACACTCTAGTAAGAGGTGAATTTCCAGGAAAGAAATATTTGTTTGTTTGTTTTTAGAGACAAGATTTCTCTGTGTAGCTCTGACTGTCCTGGAACTTACTTTGTAGACCAGGCTGGCTTTGAGCTCACAGAGATCCACCTGCCTCTCCCTCCCAAGTGCTGCGATTAAAGGCGTGTGCCACTACCCAGCTTGAATTTTATTTTTTTTATTTCCTGAGTTGAACATTTTAAAACCATTACAGTAGAGGCATAAATGAATAAATGTTAAAGGAAAGTTATTTGCAGTTATGTACTCCTGTTGTTACAAACAGACTTTAGAAGGGGTTCTATTGTGTGAATCCTGGATGTTGAACTCCATTGTCAGGCTTAGTGGCAGACACCTTTACACTCTCAGCCACCTCACTGGCTGCAGGAAAGCATTTCTGAGGTTGATATACGTAGAGCAGTGTTTGCTGTTGTTATAATGACCCTTCGAGTCTATCACAGAAGTGGATAAATTTTTGAGTCTATCTGTCTGGGGTTTGAACTTTAAATACATCTCATATATCCTAAGGTGCAGATATGGTTGCTTTGAAGTTCTTGAGGTCTGTGAGTGTCGTTTGGTCTTGATTTTTGAGTTACAGCACCTTGAAAACTCTTCATCGCTTTTCACTTTTGCTTAAGGCCCCTGCTCCAAAGAGCACACTTGTTCCTGTTGTCCCCATCACCAAGTCCACAGGCTCTCGGTTCCGGAACAGTGTGGAAGGACTGAACCAGGAGATCGAGATCATAATTAAGGAAACTGGGGAGAAGGAAGAGCAGCTTGTTGTAAGTAGTCTTTATCCTCAAAGCAGCCTTGCTTTGAGCTCCAAGCTCCCACTAAGACTGCTGCCATTTTCTTCTCTGTATTTAAGTTTCTTCTTGAGAGAATGACAGTTTAACGTTTGTAAAAAAATAAAAAAATAAAAACTATGATCATGAAAGGAATTGAAGAATTTTAATTTCTTTGCATTTCACATAATGAACTGGCCTGACTTAGGTTCAGATGTTGTAACAGAAAAGGTTTTTCTTTAATGTTTAGAAAATACCACATGGGCAGTGTCCTTTTCCTTAGCTGAAACTCCATGCAACGAGTGTAAGTTACAGTTTATGGAGGGTGGGCAAAGTGTTTCTAAGGAGGGACCTTCCTCTTCATGTTTGTCATGACTATTTGGCATACCTGCTCTGGGATTGTCATAGTTATCTGGGTTGAGTTGGTATGCTGCATCTTCATCTTAGCCATTTTACATAGAAAAATTGCTGTTTAAACTTAAATGCATCATAGTGTATTTATCTCAGCATCTATTCTTAGTTTGAAGAAATACTTTTTTGTTACAATCTGTTGCATTCTTTTTATGTGTCATTTGTTTAACTCTGTGAAGCTGTGTTACTTTGCCTGTCTAAATCACCTGAGTGGTCTAATAACTGAACAGCCAATAGTTAGGCAAGAGAGGGGAATAGGCAGGGCTGGCAGGCAGAGAGAAAAAAATAGGAGAAATCTAGACTTGGAGAAGAGAGCAAGGAGGGGAAAGGAGGACATCAGGTGCCAGCCACCCAGCAAGCCATGAAGTAAGATGAAAAGAAAGATACCGAATAAAGAAAGGTAAAAAAGCCCAGAGGCAAAACATACTTAAAGAGAAAAGGTATACTTAAAGTTAGAAAAGCTGTCTAGAAACAAGCCAAGCTAAGGCCAGACATAAGTAAGAATAAGTCTTCATGTATTTATTTGGGAGCTGGGTGGTAGGCTGGCAAAGAGTAAAACAAAACCAACTATACTTCAAAGATGTATAAAGTTCTCCCCTTGGAGGTGAAGACAGCTGCGTGTGGTGGGTTCCCTGTAGTCCCAGTTAGGATGTCTCCAGTTTCGAGGTCTCCAGCTGACTTATATAACTGAAATCCTATCTCAAACAAATAAAAAGATAAAAACTTGGTTTAGATTTGAAAATACAGAACTCTCCCATTGCTGTCCTCCATTCTGTGGGATGGAGTATGCTTTTCCTCACTAATTAGAGCTAAGTAAACCAAAATTGGGGGGGGCGCTGGTTTGCCTACAAAGTGAGTCACACGAGCTTTCCTAAGTGTCTCCTTGATCTCACCCTATAATTAGAACTGCTGTGATTAACCTTTCACTCTTAGGAAGATTTCTTGGAAGGAGAGGATTTTTGATGGGGAATGGGCAGGAGGGCACAGGAACCAAGGGCTTACCTGGTGTAATTATCACTTTTACCTTAAAAACCTTGTGACACACCTGAATTTCACCTTTACTGCAATGCTTTTTTAAAAAGTAATTTTAGAAGTAGCAGTACATGATATCATTCAGTGCAGTACATTTATTCAGCAAACACTGACCTCCTATGTTCCATGCCCTGAGAAAACAAATGTCATAGATGACGGTTCTCAATGAGGTGTCAGGTTAGGCATGGAAGCTACTAATGAGAAAGGTGCAGTAATAGAAGGGTGGATGCTTGTTTGTTTTTGAAATGTTGCTTTGCTATGTAGTCTGGCTACACTGAGAGTCAGAACCTTCCTGTTTTGGCCTCCCAAGTGCCCGGTATACTGATTTGTGGCTTAGAATTTGATTGTGAATTTCTGACCACAGAAGAATGTTGCCATTGGTTGCATTGCTGATAAATTTCAAAATCAATAGTGTAAACATGTATTTTTGTAACAGCCACAAGATATTCCAGATGGTCATCGTGCACCTCCTCCCCTCGCTCAGAGGAGCAGCAGCACTCGCAGCATCGACACACAGACCCCTGGAGGGGCAGACAAGAGCAGCAACAACAGCAGCCGCTCTCAATCTGTGTCCCCCACATCCTTCCTCACCATCTCCACTGAGGGCAGCGAGGAGAGTCCCTGCTCAGCTGATGACCTGCTTGCTGATCCCAGGGATAAAGGTATAATGGGTGCAGTTGCATCAGCGGGTGGGAATGGAATCCTCCTGTTTTATCATACATTCTGTTTCCTCTCTGTGGCTCACACATGTCAGAGGAATGGGGTCAGCATTTCAGAACATAGAGCTTTGCTGCGGTGCTGGGATGGAGGTCTAGTTAAGACTTTTGTTTCTTTTGCAGTATTTATGGTGAATACAGCTTCCTTATTAGTGACTACCCAGTGGTCCTCAACCTTCCTAATGCTGCGACCCTTTACTGTAGTTCCTCATGCTGTGGTGACCCCACCCCATCCTTAAATTACTTTCATTGCTGCTTCATAACTGTAATTTGCTACTGTTACAAATTGTGATGTAAATATTTTTAAAGATGGAGGTTTGTCAGCAGGTTGAGAACTGCTGTACTGGATAGGTATTTTCCTGGAAAGCACTTTGTTCTTGATCATTTGACTAGTTGGAATTTTATTACCTTAGTATTTCTTTTTTTTTTTTTTTTTTTTTTTGGTTTTTATAAGACAGGGTTTCTCTGTATTGTTTTGGAGGCTGTCGGTCTAGCCTGGCCTCAAACTCACAGAGATCTGCCTGCCTCTACCTCCCAAGTGCTGGGATAAAAGGCGTGCGCCACCACCGCCCAGCTACCTTAGTATTTCTTAATTAAATGTGAAGTTTCAATTTAGTGCTTTTTATAATACTTCTAAACTTGCTTTATCTCAAAGCCAAATGAGTGTTCAAAACAAGCTTTCAAAGGTTGAAGGGAACTAGGCTGGAAGGTTATTACTGGCTAAGAGACTTGCTCTTGCAGGGGACCATAATTCATTTCCCAGCACCCAAGCAGGTTGTTCACATCTGTCTATAACTCCAGTTGCAGGGGACTCTCCTGGTTTCTGCAGGTACTGCATGCATATAGAGACACATACAAACAAGTGGGAACACATACATGTGAAAACTTAAATATTCGTTAAAGATCGGGGTACTTATAGAGTAAAATTAACCTAAAATTACAAGCACCTTGAATATTAAGTACAAAATCTTACCTTTTAAAAGAAATAATCCTTGCATTTAGGAGGTAGAAGTAGGCAACCTCCAGCTTCCAAGACAGTTTGGGCTACACAGAGAAACCAAAACAAAAACAAAAAAGAAATATGATTATTTTTGATCTGCCTGTATCAGAGCAATATATTGTGTTGGCCTAATCATAGTTGTTGTATGTACTTGAAATCAATGTTGTGACAGTTAATCTGTAAGTTGTCTGGCTTAGCTTGGCTGTGAGTCTCTTGCATGTCATCTTCACTAGATGCCACTGCCACCACCTCAGCCTTCGTATCTTCTCCACTTGAGACCCTTTTCCTGAGATAATTTAGAGTCCCTGAGTATATCGGTATATAAAAGAGACTGATAATAAATCATAAATTTATCTAAACAGTTGTTTTGTTTGTATCTTCCAGCCACTGTGCAGTATGACTATAGCCCTAGCACTAGAGGGGTGGAGATAGATGGAGTCCTGGGGCTTGACAACCAGCCAGCTAGTCAGGCCAAAACGGCAAGCTCAGTGAGAGGTCCTGTCTCAAGGCAGGATAGCTTCAGCAAGTAAAAGCACTTGCCCAACCTGTGAGTCACACTGTGAAAGAGGACCAACTCCCCAAAATTGTCCTCTCATTTTCTTATGTGTGTGCAGGCCCACACACTAGTAACAAGTAAAGTTATTTAAAAAGATCAACAAAAACTTCGGGGCTCGGCTTGGTGATAGCACATGCCTTTATCCCAGTGCTGGAGATGCAGAGAGAGGTAGAGCAGTCTCTCTGAATCCTAGACCAGCTGGGGCAGTATAGTTAGGTCCTGTTTCAAAACCACTTAAAAAATAAGGTGGTACTTAATAGTGGAAGATGTTTGACATCCACTGGCCTCCACATGCATATGCTTGGGCATGAGCTCATGCACAGCATACACACAATTTAAGATAAAAACGATTAAATCTTGGTGCTAAGAAGATGGCTCAGTTGATAGAGCACTTAGTATGCAAACATGAAGACCCACGTTTGGATTCAAAGCACCTCTATTAATACGTACAGTCACATTCCCCATGTGTGTGCAAGAGTTCAGTCTTGGTGAATTTTTTCTGTCGAAGATGATATAGAGCATCTCCAGCATTTTTTGAGTTGATTGACTTTCTGAATGTGTGATTATCAATGCTGAGAAAGCTTCTTTGTACAAGTGCATAGTATACAATAGTAGAAATAGTGTGTGGCCATTTCAGAAGCAGTTGAAGTTCTGTCCTAATCTCCAACCAGTGTCATTTAGTTATTTTTTTAAGTGAAACTGAATTCAGAGGCATAAACATCTATTTTTAAAACCAAACACTGCACTTAAAGATAGACTCTTGGATACCACATCTTAAGTAATTATAAGAAAACATTTATAAGCATCTTTCTTTTCCGCAGTGAAAACACTAGTTCATTAACTTACAACCTAGAATCTAAGCTTCAGGGTGTCAGGCAGCCTGGGTTCGTGTGGTGTGACTGTGTGTGCAGTGTAGAGCACACATGCTGTGCCCCAAGCCCAGGATGCAGTGAAGGGGCCCCTAGATTCCTTATGTGTTTGAGGTTTTGGGTTGTTCTGCACCAAGAAACCTTTTATTCCTGCCAGCTTTTTTGTAGCCCCACATTCAGTTATGGGGCACCATATGAGGTCACAACGTATAGTTTAGGAAGCTGAGTTTTAAAGCAAGCTATGATGGCATATACTTGTAATCCCAGCACTTGGGAGGACTAAGAGAAGGGCTATTCCAGGTCATCTTTGGCTATATAGTGAGTTCAAGACCAGTCTGAACTATATGAGGCCCTGTCTCAGAAGCAAAAGAAAGCTAAAAGCCTGGGTTTTAAATTGCAGTTGTAGACTGTTGCTAATTAGACTTTAAAAAACTTATTAAATTGCGTGGTGGTGGCATACACTTTTAATCCCAGCACTTGGGAGGCAGAGGCAGGCAGATCTCTTGAGTTTGAGGTAAGTCTGAGGTCAGTCTGGTCTACAGAGCAAGTTCCAGGACAACCAGGGCTACACAGAAACCCCGTCTTTAAAAAAAAAAAAAAAACAGGGAAAAATGTTAGATTCTATGTTGGATAAATAATAGCTGTTAAAATCTGCCCCTTGGCTTCCCATCTTTTTTGTTTTATCTGTCCTAGGAATAATTGTGTTTCTTGGTGCCTTTGATTTTTAGAGAGGAATGATTGATGGCTCCTGTGAATTTCTTTTATTAAGAAACAGGGTCACATCACTATTTCCAGTAAGGGATTTATAGTTCACCTGACAGATTGAATATTTTAGAAGACTTACATAACATACCAAGAAATGTAAATGACTAGCATGAACTGAGGATGTCAGTGCTGAGCACAAGTGTCAGTAATGAAATGTTCTCTCTGATAATGGGAACTGGGCCAAGTTCAGAAAATAGGGAAGTTTGGAGAGAGTTCTGGAAACAGTAGAATTTATTTCTTGTAGGTGGTGGACGCTGTGGGCTGAAAGAGGTATTTGGTATGCTCAGCTTTGACCTCAAGCAGAGACGCAGGAGGAACAGCAAGATGAGATTTGGAAATTTGCAGGGCAGACCAAGAGTTAACAGCAAGCAACCACTGAAGAATCATTTCAAATACAAGTGCTAGGGAAAATAGGTATTGTTTGAATGTATTTGCAAAGTATATAGCATATAAATAAGGCAACTAGATAGGGGTGTGTGCAGTTTAAGAGTTGAGTGATACAGGCATATACTAGGACCATTCTAAGTAGAAAGTCAGGAATGCCATACATGTTAGAGTGGCGTTAGTGAAGAAAGCACTCTCCTGCCTTCAAGTAGTTCCTGTGCAGAAGTCCAGGAATATTAATTATGGTATCAGGATGCATTTTATAATAGTGTTTTAATAATTCTAAGTCTTTTTTTTTTTTTACAGAAAATGGAAACAACTCTCCTTTGCCAAAATATGCAACCTCACCAAAACCTAACAACAGTTACATGTTCAAAAGGGAACCTCCAGAGGGCTGTGAACGAGTCAAAGTCTTTGAAGAATGCTCGTAAGTATACCACAGAAACACACACACACACACATATAAAACTTCTTTAGTGACTCCTTGGGAGTTTCACATTAAACACTCACTTCTAAGTTAGAATTTTCAGACAAGTTGAAAGAGCAATGGGACAGTTACAGATCTGCCACTCAAGCTATGTAATTGTAAGTATCCTACAATGTTTGTTGAAAATAGCCCCAAATTCCCTTGTAGTATGATAATAACCCATGTATCATCACACTACAGAGCAGTTATTCCAAGTTCCTCAGCTGTCGTAAGAGTGTGTGTGTGCGTGTGTGCGTGTGTGTGTGTGTGTGCGTGCATACATGACTTGAGGAGTGAGAGCTCCCTCCTACCATGTGGGTCCGAGTGTGTGTGTGTGTGTGTGAGTGTGTGTGTCTGTGCGTGTGTGTGAGTGTGTGTGCGCGTGTGTGTGTGTGAGTGTGTGTGTGTGTGTGTGCATGCGTGTGTGTGTGTGTGTATGCGTGCATGACTTGAGGAGTGAGAGCTCCCTCCTACCATGTGGGTCCTGAGGGTTGAGCTCAGGTTTTCAGGCTTGACTGAGCTATCTCACCAATCTTCCTAGAGTATGTTCTGTAACTTTTTGTATCTTGTGGTAAGTCAAGTTCACATAGTAGGTATAGCATCTATTCTCTTAAGGTGATGCACAGATTTCACCCAGTGTGGTTCTCTTTTCCAAAGACCATGTAGCCCTTGGGTTTAGCCTACTTTTGGTCTCCAGTAATTTCACACTTTTAAATACTTCAGGCTCAGTCATACTACTGTGAGAAGATAATTTAAGAAGTGGCAGATCTTGTCTGTGTGATATTCAGGGAATTGAACCCAGGGCTTCCTTCACACGTACTACATAAGCAGTCTACCCATAAACAGTCTACTTATTTATTTATTTATTTGGTTTTACGAGACAGGGTTTCTCTGTATTGTTTTGGAGGCTATCGGTCCAGTCCGGCCTCGAACTCACAGAGATCCGCCTGCCTCTGCCTCCCAAGTGCTGGGATTAAAGGCGAGTGCCACCACCACCCGGCTCATTCTACTATTTTTATTAATTATTTTTTATGTATATGAGTTATGCCTGCACCACTTGGGTGCCAGGTGCCCACAGAGGCCAGAAGGAAAGGGTTGGATCTTATTGAACTGAACTGGAGTTTGAGAATGTCGTGAACCAATCTATCGATACTAGGAATTGGGCCTGTGTCCTCTATAACAACAACCTGTACTTTTAAGGGCTTAGGCAGCCTTCCAACCCTGAAGAAGCAGAATTTTAAACTATCAGCTCTTGGTATTTGACTTCCTAGTCCCCATTTCTGGTGTCTGGATTTCTCTTTTCCATCTCTTTCTCTTTCTGCTTCCCCAGTTCTGGGATTAAAGATGTGTACCACCATGCCCAGCTCATCCTATCCTTTTTTATGACCAAATAAAATGCTACAGTTAATATATACTACATTTTCTTCAGTTTAAGCTGAAGTCTTACTATGGAGGTATTTCTCTGTGTAATGCTGGCTTAGAGTCCTTGAAGTAAATACCCAGAAGCAGTAAGCTGGTCATGAGTAGTACTTTTTGAGTGCTTTGAGGAACCTCCACACTGATCCATTGTGGCTACGTTAATTCACCTTCCCACCAACCCTGGGTAAAAGTCTTGTGTGGCTTGGCCTCTTGACCAGCATTCATGTTTTCTTGGTAATGAACTTTCTGACTATAGTCAAATAGAATCTCAATGTAGTTTTTTTCAATTCCTGTCATTTTTTAAATGTTTTCTAGATTTAGAACTGTACAGAAGTTGGGTTGTTTTTTTGTTGTTGTTTGTTGTTTGTTTTGCTTTTTGTTGTTTTTAAGATTTTCTTATTTAAATTAGAAACAAGCTTGATTCATATGTCAATTCCAGCTCCCTCTCCCTTCCCTCCTCCCCTGCCCCCCCAACCCCCACTCCATTCCCCAGAACTGTTATATAGAAAAGCTCTGTCTCAAAAAACAACAACAAAAAAGGAGAGATGAATATTACTATTTGACATTGCCGTCCTTGTAAACGGTGTATCTTGATCATATCCTTCCCGTCCCTGCCACCTCAGTGCTGCCCCTTTTTCAGGACCTTGTAGTTTACAAATACAAGCTTCATCCTTGGGAACCACGTGTCTTTCTTTGTTTTTCTGCATAGCTTTGGAGCCTGTCCTGGAACACTCTCTCTTTCTGTAGACTAAAGTGGCCTCAAACTCAAGGAGATCCACCTGCCTCTGCCTCAGGAGTGCTGGGATTGAAGGTGTGCACCACCACTGCCCGGCAGGAACCATAGGTTTTAAGCCATTTATTTCTTTTAAACTAGAGACCACAAGCATCCCTTGCCCTGTTTAAATAATTTTAAATAAAACATCAGGCAAGTATAGATTAGTGACAAGCCTAGTCCATTGTGCTAGCTCGGTTAGTAGAACACTTACCAGGTGTGTGTGAAGCCCTGGGTGACCTGTAATCCCAGCATTCAGGCTGAGAGCAGAAGGGGTAGAAGTTCATGGTCATCTTTAGCTACATAGTGAGTTCAAGGACAGCCTAAGAGACCCTGCTCCCCTCCAGAAAAAAGCTTTATTTTGATAGAGGCATAAAAGTATATCATCTCTAGTAAACCTACCTTCAAAGGAAGCTTAAGCATTATTATAGAAATATAGCATTGACTTTATTACAAGTGATATTCTAGGTAAAAATTGAGCGTGTGTTCCTCTCATAAAACACCCCAAAACATTGTGACACTGCTTGTGCTTGACCTGTTGTTTCCATAGATTTAAATCCTGTTCTTTCTTTTGCTCTTTTGCTGTACTGACAGACTGTCTTTGGAGAGGTGTCCGTGTCAGTCAGCGGAGTCTGCACAGCATTGTTAGGGACATCCATGTTGTTAGAACCCAGTCACCAAGTCTGTTGTTACTCCTTTACTCACAGGTTTGAAGAAGCCGTCCTTCCTTCTTCAGACTCCTGACTCCCATTACAGCATTACAGACTAGCTCTCCTTAGGTTGCCTCTAAACCTTTACAAACCATGGCTGCCATGTTTGTCAAACTCTCCTGCTGGGCACCCATGCTAGGTACAGTTTTTCAGTCAGTAAATCCATACATAACATCACATTACAAAGGAGACATTATATTGAAATAGTTTTGTCTACAGAGCCCCCTCCAAGAACTCTTCAGTCTGCAGTCTGTTTGAAGAGATTGTGGACTTTGTTCTTGAGTCTTTGCAGCTTGGCCTACTGCCGTCTTTAATGAACTCAGCTGTCCTTGGGAGAGATGAGAACACAACTTTAAAAAACTAGTGATGGATTCTGTGTGCTTGGGTAGAAGTGTAAGGGCAAGTGTGCAGAGATTAGAGTGCAACTCGAAGGCATTGGTTCACGTCCATCATTTGGATTCCAGGGATTGAACTCAAATTGTCAGCTGAGAACTGTTATTTTTATCATCTGTTAACAGGGTCTTTCCCATCAAAGTTGTCTTACATGGTTTCTCTCACCTTGATTTTACTTCAGTTTTGTGATATTTCCATGTTATTTTAGCAACTTAATTTTTGCAGTTTTAAAATTTCCATGGAATACCATTAAGACCAAAATATTTTGGGAGTGGGTATAATTTTTGGAGGACCTGGCAACAGGGAAGAATTTTGCTTTGACAAAAACTTTGAAGACGGGCTGGAGGGATGACTCAGAGGTTAAGAGCACAGGCTGCTCTTCCAGAGGACCTGAGTTCAATTCTCACAACCATCTGCAATGAGATCTGGTGCTTTCCTCCAGTGCATGCATGCAGGCGGAGCACATAAATACATAACAAAAAAATACATAACAAATAAATCTGAGAGAGAGACAGAGAGAGAGAGAGAGAGACAGAGACAGAGAGAGAGCGCATGGCAACTCCAGGGGACCCAACACCCATGTTAAAACACCAATGCACATTAAAAAGAAAAAAAAGAACCTTTGGAGACTGAGATAGGTTTCATCTCCAACATCACAAAAAACTAAAGCATGCTGGGTGTTGGTGGCACATGCCTTTAATCCCAGTACTGGGGAGGCAGAGACAGAAAGAAACTAAAGCAACTCCACAAGTTTCCTTGTTTGTTTAATTTCACATTTACTTTTTATTTCTCTGAAAAATCTTAATAGCTGACTCAGCAGATGCAGGCGAATCTCTGTGAGTTTGAGGTCAGCCTGGTCTACAGAGTGAGTTCCAGGATCGCCAGGGTTACCAAGACTTTCTCAAACAAAACAAAAAGTAATAATAACAACAACAAAAACAAAATACGCGTAAAAGAATACTTGAAAACCTTTGGTCATCAAGTAGTAGTCCTTTAGGGGTGTAATTTAGCAAAAACAAAACTGGGCTGTTATATAGTCAGTTTCTTTGTTGTCTTGTCTTGGAAAAATCATTTTGGAAAATGCAAATACATGTGGGTTTTCTTTTGTTTTAGGAAATCTATACCTTATCTATTTTTTTAATGTACCTGTGTCTTAAAAAAATGATGTTATTTCCAGTATTCAGTGACTTACATTAGTGGATTGTCTGTTTGTATCCAGGCCAAAACAGCTTCATGAAATTCCAGCCTTTTACTGTCCTGACAAAAACAAGGTGAATTTCATTCCTAAAAGTGGCTCTGCTTTCTGCCTCGTGAGTATCCTCAAGCCACTTCTTCCCACACCAGATCTTACCCTCAAGGGCTCTGGTCACAGCCTGACAGTCACCACTGGCATGACGACCACTCTGCTTCAGCCCATCTCCATGGCCTCCCTGTCTGCAAACACAGAGCAAGACAGGGTGTCCCGAGGAACCAGTACAGTCCTGCCATCCGCCTCCCTCCACGCACCGCCAGAACCAATCGAGGAAGCTGAAGGATAGGTCCCAGCTCATGTCTGGTTCCTGGAAACTGAGAACCCTGCAGATCACGTGACTGTGATGGTTTCGTGTCCTCCCAGCTGGCTGTGAAGTGCTTTGGCTTTCCAGTGATGTGTGACGAGGCTGCTGGAAGAACGCATCCCTGTGAGTGCTCTGCCCTGCGCATGAAGGCCGCCAACAGAAACATGGGAGGTCTCTTTACTTTTGGAGGAACAAAATCACATTTTCATTTGTTTTCAAATTAGACTTGTTTAAAACAAAACAGACAAACATGAAACCTAATCCCTGCAAACATGATTTCTGAAGGGAGATATGATTGATGCTGCAAGAAACCATCTTTTATATGAAAATGACTATTTTATAATACCAATGTTACATTTTCTGAAGTAGCAAACAGGATGTTCAAAAGATTCTTTGGTGGCCTCTGTTTCTTCTTTCCCTTTTCTAGGTGTTACTTTTCTCAGCTGTTTTCAGCTTTGGGACCAAAGGGATTGTTGACATTTCCCCAGCAATGTCAATCTCATGACTGTGTTCTTCTCCCAAATAAGAATTGATAGGTAAATGCATTGAACCAAGTATATATGAAAAGATAAAAAGCAATATTCGTACATTATGTGATTTATGTTTTTTGATGTCAGAATTTGTGCTTTGGTGAAGTATTTGTAAAACTGCTGTTTTCTGCACTATCCTGCTCACATCTCAGTGTGTGGTCAGAAAAGTGACAGTCTAAAGAAAGACAGGTGCTTTAACAGTCAGTGAGCCAAAAGAAACTCAAGTGTGGATTGTTAGCTAGGCGTGCAGCGCTCTCTGGTTTTCTGTAAACTGTGTCACGTGGTTGCCCCCTTCGCCGGGTGTCATTCTCCCTTTAGTCATCACTGTATCATAGCCCCAAGAGACCCTGAAATGGCTGTGCATGGATTTCCTCCTCTGCTTCCGTGGTGGTGTTGTCTTGTGGACTTGGTCAGGGTTAGTAGTTTGCCAGGAGTGTAATCCACTGAGTAGCAATCCATAGCCCAAGAACCCTGAGGACTGACTTTTTCCTGATGGCAATTGACACTGATTTGTTACCTACAGATTTTTCTAATTTCTTCTCCAACATTCTACACACTGGGGGAAATAAAGAAGAGGTTTGAACTTACAACAGGTACCTTTGGAAGATCTGTACAGTTTTGGGTTTGGGTTCATCTGGTAACCATTGCCAGTGTCCTATAACAGTATTTAATTTCTAGGTGTGTGGTAGTAAAATTAAGGAGCAGCTCTTTGGAAGTGAATTCCATCAGTGTTGGTGAAGCATTGTTTTAATACTGTCACACACTAACCTACGCTGCTACATACATCAGACAAGTTTTAAAGCCTGCAAGAGTGGCCCACCGCTTGGAAGGCTAATTCTACCCACTGGTCCAGTCATTCCATCAAAACCTTGAAGTACTAGCAGTGCATTTCCTGCCAGGTGTTAGTTACCTCAGAATGTCTGGGCATTTTAACGTAGGCTATACTTAATGTTAAATGAGGGATATTTTGACTAATCACATAAATTTGAACATCTATGAGAATCCATCAGTTTTTGGTTAGGAAGACTGATAAATTTTGGCACTTTAGCCATCCAAAGATTAACTTCCTGGGCACTAGTAAATTATAGCTTCTAAGTCAGCAAAACTCTCAGTTGTTTGGGGTATAGACTTGTTAGTTGGTTGGGTTTTGTTTTTCAGGTTTTTTGGTTTTTGTGGGTTTTTTTGTACCTTTTTTATTTTTTTCTGCCTCGCCATGCCTGTTGACATTACTATTTTACCAGTATCATAAGTACAGAAGAAAGGCACATGCCAGTCAGTTGAGTTGATCTGAAGGGAGAAGGAGGTATTTAAAAGCAAAGGGTTTTGCTTAATTTCATTTGCTCATGAGACGGGCTCTTATTATGTAGCCCTAGCTGGTCCTGAACTTGCTGTGTGAACCAGGCTGGCCTGGAACTCAGATCTACTAGCCTCTGCCTCCCAAGTACTGAGATCAAAGGCTTGCACCACCAATTTCCTAGTTGCCATATTTTTAACCCTTTGGGGTCCCCCACTTGAATTCTATTAAATTTATGTTTTGTTCTGTTTTTTTCTTTTGTTGTTCACCACCTCTTCTCTTGTTTTACAAATAGTGTTACTCTGTAATAGATTTCTCTCCACTGTGTTGTACTTGTTGGGCAGATCGAGTTCTCTGCAGTTGCACGTATCTTTGAAGTAACATGGAGGGGGACAGGTCTCAGGTCAATCTGCTCTTAGAACTTTAGTCTGAGGTTTGGGTTGGAAGAAGATTGTGAATTTGCTAGTAAATGAATTGTACGGTGACCAAACACTTTTTGAGTTTTGGAGAAATAAAACCAGAAGAAAAACAAAAAAGATCTAGGTCCAAAACCAACTCTGAACTGCCAGGGCCAAAGGGCTAATTTTTAAGCATATGAGCTTTATTGAAGTCTTAAAATATATTAACCATATATCCACCTCGCTGTTTTATTTATCTCTTAATTCCCAGGTGGTTGGTTTTAAAAATGGGTCTACTCTCAGTAGAGTGGGTATGATTATATTCACAAACCATACTCCATAGTTATGGTCATTCTGTAGAAACTGTACAGCAGTAGAGTAGCTTTAATGGAAATAATTTTTCCAGTGCTGGGGATTAAACCCAGGGCCTCGTGCATGCTAAGCAAGTGCTGTCACTGGCTTATCTCCCCAGTCCCTAATTTAAATGTTTAACTAAAAAAATTTACTTCCATTGCAGTAAAAGTGAGTGGCATGTTTTTTTGTTGTTGTTTTGTTTTGGCCAAAGAAGCTGTTCCCTAGTTATTTGTCTGTCTTTACCCTCGAGCAGTTTCTGCCCTGCCATGATAGATGTACAGGTTTACTGTTTCTGAGATGGTAAGTCAGCTACTTACCATTGCTTTATGGGCAATCGTGTTTTTAAAAATTGTAGTTTTGCTTTCTTTGGTTTAATATGGTGTGAATGTCAAAATTATTTCTATACTAGATTCTTCATATTGTTTAAAGTGTTTCTTAGACCCTAGGACCATAACCAGATCTGCCTCTGAGAAGACACTGTTGCTAACTGGGGTGTATCTGGCAACAGGGAAAGACTGCCTATCTTTATTTTTACTTTTTATGTTTTGATTAAAGAAACAGTTGGCTTTTCCTAGAAGAAGGTCTAAAAAAATGGCAGAATGTTTAGCTTTCTCTGTGCCTGGGATTAGAACTGAGATGTTACGGTTTTCAAGGAAAACTAAATTCAAATTGTCACTACTACTAAATTTGTAAAAGTTGAGATTCATTCCTTAATGTTGGGTTTGGAGTGTGTCAAAACTGGACTAATGGAAGTGCTGAATTTGCAAAATAAAGCCAAGATACTTAACTGCACTTTAAGGTTTCTGGGTACTCTGCCTTCATTAGTGACCCGCAGAGTGGCTCTGAACAGTATTTTGTTTATACAGTCCTGTTGGAGATATATAATTTATGTTTTTTAAACTCTGCATCTTTGTCTCTGTTGATGTAAATCTTTTTTAATGCAATTTTTTAAAGTTATAACAAAATCCCCCCCCAAGCATTTCCAGCGATGATAAGTATTGTTGTGGACTGTGTCCCTGCAGCCTGTGCTTCCTGCTGCCTCACAGGGAATAGAACTCCTATGTTCAAATAAAGTCTGTTGTTCTTGAGGTTTTTTTTTCCTGTGTATTTTGTGAATATTGCTGCAAATTCAAATTTCATTTATTTTTTAGCATTTCTAGCCTGGTGTAGCATATGTATAGTATATTCTCTTCCACAAGTTGATAGAAAAATACATATACACCAGGCTGTTGTTGGCCTCCCCTGCCTGCTCTAGAATTGAATGTAGCCTGTCCTCATGGTAAGTGCAAAACAGACACGGCCCCACATGGCACACTGACATGCATTCACTCATAAGAAACCCATGAGTTCCATGTTTGTCGCAGATTATTTAGCTGGGTAAGTCGGTATTCTGTACTACATGGCGAAGGCTTTTTCCTTTTTTTTAATTATTGCAAGAATATTTGGTCTCAAGGGTGTTGTGTCCATCTATGGAATAGGTCAGACCAGTGAAGAGTGGTGTGTAATCACCTACGAGGAGGCATGATTATAAGTAGCTTGATCATCAGATTTGTTAAATTTAATAAAATCTACATTTTTGAGCCAGGCATGGTGATACACACTACAATCCCAGCCCTTGGAATTCTGAAACAGGGGGAATAGGGCTGTGTTGTGAGACTGTTTCAAAAGATAACTGGAGAGATGGCTCAGCTGTTAGGAGCACTGACTGTTCTTCCAGAGGGCCTGGGTTTGATTCCCAGCCCCACATCTTATAGCTTCCAATCATACAAAAATCTCATAAGTCAATTACTGACTTCTAACTAAAGTGACACATTCTTCCAGCCATGGTGGCACATACCTTTAGTTCTAGGACTTGCAATGTAGAGGCAGGTGTATCTCTTGAATTGGAGGCCAGCCTGGTCTACATAATGAGTTCCATGACAGAGAAACCCTTTCTAGAAATAGCAACAAAAAAGATAAGCACGAAATAAATGTGAACTGTGTGTGTGTGTGTTGGCTCAGATAGGACTCACGACCTTGCATATACCACACACATACACTACCATGTAACTGTAACCCTTACCCCCCCCACATAAACACACACCATCTTTGAGACAGTACTTTAAATTGCCCAAGCTATCCACAAACTCATAATCTTCCTGCATGTTTGGGATTATAAAACACCCAAGTTAAATTATCTTCTAAATTTTTCTAATGCAACATAGTACTATTGGGCTTTTTATCTCTGATTCAGTGTTTTTAAACAATGATCTAGTCATGAATTAAATAAGTCTGCTAAGCAGAGTAGAAAAGTTTTCTCCTAAGGAGACTATTTTTGTGTTAAAAGTTTTTTCTTCTCCAATGTAGACAATTGAGCTTTATGTATGCTGGGGAAGCTGTCCTCATGGTAAGTGCAAAACAGACACTGGAAGCAGTAGCTTCCAGAGCCTTGAGTTTGATCTGCTGGCAGCAGGTGGAGAGATACGTGGGCTTCTGAAACTTTAAACCTGCCACACTGACACACCTCCTGCAACAAGACCACACCTCTGAATCCTTCCCAAACAGTTCCACTCCCTGATGATACTTTTCATTCCAACCATGGTTTGATTTGATTGGGTCCTTTTACATTATAAAAATATTTGTCTCCACCTGGAGAGGCTTCAGTGGTCTGAGGGGAGCAAAGTTCTGAGTGGGGGCACAGTTTGGGTGGTAAGTTCTACCACTAATGTTTAGCGGTCATGGAGCTTGGTGCCTAAAGTCACCTTTTTGAACTTCAGTTTTCACTTGTCCAACTAAGGAACTGCTGTCACTTGAGTGGGGTGTCAAAAGGTAAGAGAGCTGTAAGCAGACTTGTTTTTGAAATCAGGTAAGTTTAATTATAAGAAAAACTAGAGGGAGGGGCCAGTCATGGAAATGGTCTCAAATTCATTTTAGTTTCTCGGGTGTAATCTAGTCAAAGCATCTAGTGACAGTGTTTACCAGCCCCAACCCTGTTGTCAGACACTAATTATTACTTCACTCTTTGTGACTGCCTCAGGAAGCGAGGACCTGTTGTGTAGATGACAAAATTGGAAGTAACCAACCAAAGTGATGTCTGGGAGATGCTGAAATCTTCTTCTGCCATGTCTGTATCCAGGACTTACTCTGGAACATGCAGCCTTGCCTTATCACCTGCACTGGCAACACTGGTAAAATCATCTGGTTGCAGTTGCTGGTCTCTGAGCCTTGTCCTCGTGGGCTCAGCTGCTACAGCTGCTGGCACCCTGGTTCAGGATGACCAGGAGATACCAAATTGGTGACACAGTCTCAGGTTTCTAATTTTACTATAATCTACAGAATGAGAGATGTTTTTCTTTAATCTGGGGAGCTTGCCTTTTAGAGAATCTGAAATTGGCTTCCATTGCATTTGTCATCTTTCCCTTGTTGAGATATGGACAGTGATGCTTGTTAACACTGTACTATAGAGTGAACACAGACTCTTGAGCATGCTAGACAAGTACTCAACAATGAGCTATATCCCCAACATCAAAAGGGTAACAAATCGCCGGGCGTTGGTGGCGCACGCCTTTAATCCCAGCACTCGGGAGGCAGAGGCAGGCGGATCTCTGTGAGTTCGAGGCCAGGCTGGACCGACAGCCTCCAAAACAGAGAAACCCTGTCTCGTAAAACCAAAAAAAAAAAAAAAAAAAAAAAAAAGGGTAACAAATCAGCCAGGAGTAGTGGTGCACACCTTTAATCCCAGCATTCAGGTGACAGGCCGATGTCTGAGTTCAAGGCCAGCCTGGTCTACAGAACAAGTTCTGGGAAAGCCAGTGGTATACAGAGAAAGGCCAATTTGTAATAAACACTCCAAAATCTTGACGTTAGCATCAAGCGGTCCTTACTTTTTTGTATTTAATCTTTGGCCAGTAGCTCATTATTTCCACCAGTGAGTGGAGAAGAATGTGTATGTATTGACTAGCTGCCTAAGGCATGCCTGGGGTGTGGCTCATTGGCACCACCTATGGTGCATGCAGAGTTCCTGTGTTCCATCAGCTGCAGATTGGGTGGAGAAGGGAGTGATGATGGCTCATGCCTTTAATTGGGAGGCACAAACAGGAGGATCTCTGTGAGTTGGAAGCCAGCCTGCTCTATAAAGTGAGTTCCAGGGCAGTCAGAGCTACACATAGAAACCCTGTCTCCAAAAAAAAAAAAGTTTCCACTGTACTTGTAGCGTTTAAATAGTGCAGAGGAGATGGGAAGATACAACCCATCTTAACCACCTTAACCATCTCCTCAACCTGGACATGGCATATTTAAACTTTCTGTAATGTGTCTTGCCAGTGCTATTGGACTAATATTTTTTTATTTTCTTCCTAGTTTCTTTACCCCAAGAGTCAAGGCTATTTCATTGGTCAAAGTATAGTTCCACCACTCTGGAACACAGAAGTAACTCAATTTTGGCTCTCCTGGATTTTTTGTTTTGTTTTTTGAGATGGGGTTTCTCCGTGTAGCTTTGTAGACCAGGCTGGGCTTGAACTCACAGAGATCCGCCTGCCTCTGGCTCCTGAGTGCTGGGATTAAAGGCGTACGACACCACCTCCCAGTGGTTTTTTTTTCAATTTTTAATAATTTATTTTTATTTCATGTGCATTAGTGTTTGGCCAGCGGTGTCAGAACTCCTGGAACTGGAGTTACAGACAGTTGTGAGCCACCATGTGGGGTTATGGAAGAGCAGCCAGTGCTCTTAACCGCTGAGCCATCTCTCCAGCCCTCCAGAATGTCTTTTTCAACCACCAAATTATTAATGATTGAGCCTCAAATTACTTAATCATGATAAATAGTACAAATAACTTTCATTTAATAAACTATCAAATGGAATTGTTTGACTTGAAGTTATAACAGAACTTGGTAAGGCAGTTAATGTGGCTTCCTAGTTATAGGAAATAAACTATACACTGTATTGAAAGATAATCAGAAACTGAGTAATGATAATTGTATGTGTGTCGATTTGTGGTAACTTTGATCTGGGAAAGTGGATGGTATTGGCCCTTCATTTTCGTAGTTGAGGGTTCAGGATTTGCCTGGAGAGAGCATTGATTTCCTACTTACTGAAGTATCTGTTTCTACCAGATAACAGGCTGCCTCTGATGCCTGTGAAGGAAGATAGACAGGTAACTGAAGAAACTCATTGAGAAGAATACCCTTGCAAAAACAAATAGCACAGACCAAGATGTAAGTTATGTTCCTTGAGATGGATGGAAAACTACCCCCAAACTAAAGGGCAGGCAGGGAAGGGCCAGGAGCTGAGTGAGCGGCACGTCCTTGGTCGATTGCTTTGACCAGCTTGCCCAGCTGCCACTAAGTAGCCTTCCCTCCAGAACTGACTCCAATCCCTGTGTGAGCAGCTCTGCTAGGTAATCAGATGCCAACCTTGGAGTTAGGCAAAGAGGAAGAGCGTGGGCTGTCCCTACTTTCTGTGGAATTGTCCATGTCTGTCTTAAACCACGTGAATAAATGAGAATACCAATATATATAAAGGTGAGGTGCTCAAATTGTTTCCCTTGTTCACATAGAAGTGTCTGGGGGCTCTCAGAAAGACTATGCCCAGGTAGGCATCTCTCTCCCTGCTGTTGCGGGAGGAATGTCACTATACATCACTTTCCTCCATTTCTATAGAAGATGGAACTTTCATCCTGTTATTTTTCCCATGAAAATTTAATGATGGAACTAGGTGTTTCCATGATTGTGTGTGAATGAAAAATACCATTGCATTTAGCTTCCAAATACAGAAAAGCAAGCACAAGTTTCTCTAATTTCAGTAAAGCGAACCAAGTTCTCTACTCTGTTCTACATTGTAATCAGGGAGAAAGCATTCTTTTCTACTGCTATTCCCCAAAATAAAACACCTGCCAGTATCAAACTCACCCATACCATAGCCTCTTTATGTCCTGTTCTTTACCCATGTACAGCAAAGGAACTTAAATCTAGAACACTTCCCAAAAAAAAACGCCATCTCCTGTGATTCAGACGTAAGTTTGGTTTCTCAGTATTGCAGACTGGGGAGTTTGTAAGAATTCCCACATACTATCAACAGCTTGCACACCAGCATAATAAACACACAGGCTGC